CACACACACACACACACACACACACACACACACACACACACACGAGATCATAAACTCCAGAGGGAGCAAGATGGGGAAGATGGGGTATATGGGAAGAGTCGGAGGAAGGTATGGGAAAGGGGAAAGTGATGTAATTATATTTTAATTTTAAAAAGTAAATCAATATTCTGTTATTAGTTACTGTTTTTCTCTCTCAATGAAGTAGTTAGGACTACAGATCATAGTGCTCAGTTGCATTTAAATCTTGGTTGATCTATTGATTCAGTTTTTAAAAGCTGTTGTTGACACAAGCCTTCCTCTTCCGGATGGTTGTTTTTCTCACCTGTGGAATGGTGATAATAACTGTATCTCAAGTATAGAGGCTTTGGGATGAAATGAATCACACAGTATTTTTTTGTCTGCTTGTGTGGATGTATCTGAGACTGGATCACTTTTTAGGTGAGTGGTGACATATTGCACTGTCATGTTCTCACAGACTTCTAATGACAATGTCATTTCCAAGATTTTCCCTCAATATTTACCTAGAATCAAAAATCACTGTAATTTCACAGGTTAATTAATTTTCCTTTCATTCTATGTTTACTCTACAAATTTAGCCTCCTTTAACTGTTATTATTTTAAAAAATACATCTTAGGTTTTGATACAGGGTCTTGCTGTACAGTCCAGACTTCCCTCAAACTCATGTTCTTTTTGCCTTTGCCTCTTCAGAGTGCTGGGATTGCAGGTGTTCAGTTCATCCACAAAAGTCACCAACATGCAATAATGCATCGTATCCAGTTAGAGGAAGGAGATGGCTTATATTACTACAGTTTTGATGAGCTGTCTAAATATGGTATGATTGTTATTTGTAGCCACCCACAGACTATTTTATTTTAGGATTATATTTGTCTTTGTATTTTGCAATCATAACATGTAGTACTAAGATACTAAATAAACAGTGAAATGGCAATATTTGTGATGGCCTGGACTTTGGAATTTCTAGACAATTATTTATCCTGTGATAATTTCCATGGAGAGAATATTTCGATTCTTTTGTTACTGAGGTAGAATTAGATTGTCCCTAATCATCCCTCTGTTTTTCATCTGTCCCTACTCACTTCATTGGGCATTCACATGACTTAACTGGCACGAGACAATCTTCAGAGTTATGGTCATTGGCTTGCCATTTAAAATTCTATTATGAGAAATTTGAATCCTAAATTTGTCTTTCTATGGTTGGCCAACCACTGTGATTTTAGGAAGAAGCTGTTTATTTAGTGAGTGTGGTAGAGCACAGTGTTCTTGATTGTCTTGTCGCCAAAGGTAAGACCCACCTTCTGATTCTTGGATCATGTGTTTGATAATCTTGATATTGTTGTCCTATTTTTGTTTTTACTCACTCTTCATCCCTTCTTTCTCAGCATAATATAGATCGGGTGCTATTATGGTTAGCATGTGAAATGTCCAACAGGGGGTCATGTGTTGTCATGAGCTGCTGTGTTGTTTTGGGAAGCTGAGGAGTCTTGTGAGGTGGAGCAGAGCAGGAGAAAGTGAGTCACCGAGGCATGGACTTTCAGGCTTGTATCTCAGCCCTGGTTCCGGGCTGACCTCTCTGCTTCCTGTTCTGCCAAGATACAAGGAGGCAATGACCTCTGGCTGCCCACCAGCAAGAAGCCTCCTGCTGCCACGCCTTCCGCATCATGCTGGATTGCATCCCTCCACAGGTCACCAGCTAAATAAATCCCTGCTCCATTAAGTTGCTTCTTGTTGGTTATTTGGTTGTAACGGTGAGTAAAGGAACTAACACAGGCCATTTATAAAGATCATCTGGTGTTTGTATAAACACTCCCCTTTGCTTTCCCATATGAGGGGTCTCAAGCTTTTAAACAGGAAGTCCTATTCTCTTTCTTTAATATCATGCATAGTGATCACTTTCCCATTCTGGCATGTTTCTTCTATTCTGAAGCCACACTCTTTAAATGACAGAGCTCACAAATCTAGTAGCTATGCTGATGCACCTTTCTGCACAGTTTAGCACCTCAGGGTCTCTAAAGCATGTTGGTCTTGTAGATGTGAGTGTGTCTTGACACATAAGTCTGAGCTATGGCTGGAGCTTGGGCAGATTATACCTGTACCCACCTGGGAACTGGCATCTTAGAGTTCTCAGTGTGTGGTGCACCCTTGCCTGTGGCTGGTCTGTTCCTCACATCTGTCTTCAGTAAGGACAGAATGCCTCCTGGTTCTTCCAACATTCTACTCAGGGTAGCCTCATGTTTCTGAGGAGGAAGTAACCAACTAATAGGATGCATCTGTCTTTCTGAACCTTCTTAGTGGTCTGTGGATCAGGAGTAAGGTCCTTGTAGGGAGTCTACCTTTCCCTCCTATGATGTAGACTTTTTTCTCTATCATATTCCTTGAATTGCCTAATAGGTAATGACAATCCATAACCACCTTTCAGAATATTCTTTTCTAATTCCTTTCCATGGTTTTTGTTGCTTTTTTTTTTTTTTTTAAAGAATGCTCATGCATTTCACCTCGAAGTAGGTGAAACTTTATAAACTTGACGTTCAAGAATGAGGAGTTAGTATCGTCAAGTTATGGTGAGGGCTGTCTTCATTTCTTTCTGTGTCCATACCTTGAAGAGAGGGAAAGCCAAAACATCCACACTGGTTCTTATACTCAGGGCACAATGCTCTATCACAAGGGCTGCATCCTCATGACCTCATCTGAGTCTGGTTGTCCCTGAAAGGCTTTATCTTATAACACAATCACATAGGGATTATGGGTACAATTTACACTCTTGTGTGACATAAACATGCAGTCCACAGTGCTTTCAGCTTTGAAAGGAAGCGTGAAGGAAATTCTCCAATGGATGAGCAGATCAGTGCCACCTGCTCCCAAGGCTGTGGTGGAAAATGCCTGTGGTATGCTGTGGTTCCTGCTCATAGCATTTCTCTTTTTGGCTTCTTCCTGTTCGGCAAAGTCTGAGGGCAAAGATTTTGCCTTATCTGTATAGTTCCTGTCATAATAATGTGGTGATTCATAAAGGCTTGTCTCATCTTGAACACTGACTAGATGTTGCTGCCACAGTCTGGTAAGTACACATTTACTTGGTTTCTCATCATCTTTTGGCTGTCTCTTCCACCTTTCCATATTGCTGGCCAGATTTCACACTCTTTATATAACCTAGGTGATAGAGCTGGGCTTCTCTGGGGGGCAGTGGTGTATTAGCATTTCAGCTTCTTAATACTTCTTCATCCCCGGCATTTCCTTTACTATTCTCTATTTTTATTCACAAATAGTCACATGAAGAATAGAGGGAGGGTCTGGCTCATTTCTGTCACATGGACTTATCAAAGCTCTGCTTGACTACATTCTCCCAAATATAAGAAAAGCAAGTCTTCCATTTCAGAAATAACACCTGTGGTTGTTAACCTGAGTTTTTAGTATTTTTTCCTGTGTTTTATTTTCTTAAGAATGATTACACAAGCCAGGTGGTGGTGGCACATGCCTTTAACCCCAGCACTCAGGAGGCAGAGCCAGGCAGATCTCTGTAAGTTCGAGACGTCTACAGAGTGAGATCCAGGACAGGCACCAAAACTACACATAGAAACCCTGTATTGAAAAACCAAAAACAACAACAACAAAAGAATAATTACACAAAATGCACTTCATTAAAAAAAATCCACACAGATTACAAATTACCAAAACAACACCCATCAAAATTCAAATTGAGCAACATTGAAATACAAGAGAATACATGAACACATCTGAACACATACATGTCAAATAAAGTTGAAACTAATCTTAGGCTTTAGCATAGTGAGTATTTTCATGGTTTGTAAGATTTTAAGGCTAAGGGGAGAGAAATTCTGGTCTTTGCATCAAGGTCCAGAGGAAATAAAATACAACGCAAATTGATGAGCTATGTTAAGAATGAAAAGGCTGTGAATCCAGATGTCAAGCGTGGCCAAGCGCGAGCCATTTTATTTCCTTGAGGGTTGCAGGTTCACGAAGCATCCCTGAGTCCTGAAGGTTCAAAATGAAAAGCCAGTCAAGTAGCTGGAGTTCCATTTCTTCTAGTGGAGATCAGGCCAGGCTGGAGAGCACAGCAGAGAGGATTGTGTATATTTCGAGGTGACAGTGGAAAGGCCATGCCGCTCACTAGTGTTAGTTAAGAACAGCTCAACAGGACAGAGGATGGAGTGTGGGGACGGATTTAACTCTTTAGCTTGACGGCATCTTGAGTGTGAAGACCTGAAGGGGGTTCCAGAAGCTCACACCTACTGCTCCTGCAGCCTGTTTCGTTTCCTGGCATAGCACTTTTTAACTCACATGTAAATAGAGCCTCATCTTCTTGCCCTTCAGGTACCACTGTATCTAGGGCTTCTGCCCTGATGCCCTCCTGACTTTCTCGTCCTTCTTTGGACTTGTCTGAGGCATAATTCAAAAATTCCTGTCAAAGACAGCTCCATCCGACTTCATTTTTTTTATGGCCCTGTTTTGTGAAGCACACTAGATTTTTTTTCTTCCACACTTCAACAGATTTAAAACATGATAAAGCGTTGGAGGACAGCGATGATCTATGGACTCATGCAGATCTGTCAAGATGTCGAGAAGAAGCAGTTGCTCCTGGGCTGAGAATGATGACATGGACTGTCTCCTCCAGGATATGAGCGGTGTCCGACGGCAACTTGACACTTATCAAAAGGCTTCTGCTTCGTGCTTGGCTTTGTTTGTGTTCAGTCGTCTTAAGAACCAGGCATTCATAGCAGAATTCAACAGCAACGGCTCTAAATGTGACAGTAACTGTTTAACCTGGCAGACTCATGGGGACTCCCGTGGGACATTGAAGACAACATTGTTCTAATTGCAGACTAGGTAATACTTGCAATTCTTACAAGAACAAACACGAGAAGCCCAGAGGTTATAATTTCAGAATTAGCAGCAGGGGGCATAATTAATTGTCAATTTGTAGCATCATGTGTCCTCGTTTTCTTTCTCCTTTTTTGGTTTTGCGAAAATTTTCAAAGAGAAAGCTTTTGTTTGTTGCTGACACCCCATATTTCTGTATGCATATAAACACAAATATGTCCTCCAGGGAGAGGTTGGGATTATCTTAACAATGGTTTTGACGTGAAGAAACACAAGATAAATGAGGTTAAAGGTATAGTCTGGGGAAGGCCCACAGTGTTGATGAAGGCAGATGCACTATGAAATATGGGTAAAGAATATATGAGAGACAGAAGTGCATGCACCTGAGTGAGGAAGAAACGGAAGCTTTTGCAGAGCAAGTGACATTTGCTCAGAGCTTGAAAATGCGTATGTGCTTGCCAGACCGACAGACTTTTCAGTATGTTACAACATGCAAGCCCCAATACTAAAGCCTATTGGGAAAGGATAATAAAGGGTGTGGCTTGGAGGGTAGAAGCAGCTTAAAACTTTCAAATTCCACTTGTTCTCTTCAGTTGTGTTTGATGGTTCCCAGACAGATAATACATATGGAAAACCCACTTTCAATAGGAAGCCTATTAAATATCTTTTTTGGAGGAGACCTTAGTGACAGATTATTTGTCCAGAATACATGTGGAGGGTTGGAGGGGCAACTGAGTGGGTAAAATGCTTGCCATGCAAGTATGAGGACCTGATTTTGATTTCTCAGAGCTCATGTTAAAAAAAAAAATTAGGGCAGTGGAGACATGAGACACGAGGAAGTCCGGGGCTTGCTGGCCCAGCTTCCTGGGCAACTCTCAGGCCAGTAGGCGCTCTGTAATAACTTCTTAGTGTGCAAATGAATGAAAGAGTAGCACTTATGTCACTTTAAATCAAAAGCTAGCGATGGCATAATGAGGAAGATAAACTGAAAGCTGAGGTAAGCTAAAAGCTATGTTCTTGCAAAGTATCATATCTACACTCTTGGAGCTCACACACACGGCCAAAAAACTGTTCTTCTAGGAACCGAGGCACAGAGGATGGGGAAAGAAAACAGCCTCATTGATGATATGAACGACTTAGTGGTCTGGATTGAAGGCCAGACAAATTCAACATTACCTTAAGCCAATTATTTTTTATTGAAAATAGATTTTTTAATAAAAATATATTCTAATCATGATTTTACTTCCCCCAACTCCTCTCAGATTCTACCAACTTCCCCATCCACCAAAATCAACATTCTCTTTTTCTCATTAGATAGAAAACAAACAGGAAACTAAAAAACACAGCAAACAAACAAAAGCCTCCAAATGAACCAGAATAGTACAAAACAGACAGACAAACAGAAAGAAAATTACAAAGGAAAGCACAAGAAACACACACAACCTTGAAGACACGCATGTGTGTGCATGCATGTGAGTCTGCATGTGTCACAGCGTGTGGAGCTCAGAGGACAACTTGTGTGGTTGCTTTTCTCCTTCCCATTAGTACTTCATTGTTCTGTGACTTTCCCTATGTGCCATATGTGAACAGGTATGAAGATATGAAGATAACATGGTTAGGTGGAAATTCCCAATGGACCATAGGTCCTAAACTACTTAGGGTTTTTATGTGAAACTTTTTTTTTTCCTGAGGTGCCCTGACTTTGGCATTACTCAGGGTAGAATACCAGTTGTGAAACACAAGGTCAGCTTCAAGTTGACAGCATTTGGAAGCTTGTGTAGAACTTGCAGGTTGGGCAACAACAGCAACCTACAGCTGGCATGGCTGTGCATATGATATATATGTGCACCATGGACTGACTTATACCTGATGCTGCCATTATTAATCTAAGAAGTGGTGTGTGTGTGTGTGTGTGTGTGTGTGTGTGTCAGTCAATGTGTGTGTGTCAGTGTGTATGAGAGAGAGAGAGAGAGACAGAGAACAGAGACACACACAGTAAGAATGAGAGAGAGAGAGAGAGAGAGAGAGAGAGAGAGAGAGAGAGAGAGAGAGAGAGAATTTGGTAATGTCTCAGGAATAGTACTTAGTCTTGAACTTATTTTAAGTCTTATAACATTAGAAGGTATTCTTGATACCTTAAAGATTTTTCCTAGTGATTTGTAAATGGGATGTTTATACATTAAGGAGCACTTGAATAACTGGTAATTTTTATTTAAGATTTATTTATTTTAAATTGTGTATATGTGTGCAAAGTCAAAGCTGGGTTGTGTCAGGGTGTGTCACCCCAGTCTACCCTTTTGCCCCAACAGCTTTTCTTGCAAATGTTGACTGGAGTGAGTCACTGATCTGGTTGGGGCCTGTTCTCCTGAGTGCTCTAGCTGGCAAAGGGCAGTGGCATCTCTTCCACTCTTAGGGCCAGCTCTCCTGCCAGCCATAGGCAGCAATGGGGGCGGGGGTGGCACCTTTCCCACACCCATACCACCGTACAGCCAATAAGGGCTGGGAGCCAGCTCTCACACCCTCAGGGCCTGCTCACCAGCAGCCCCACCACCAGGACCAGCTCTACTGTGCTGCCCAGGTGAAGTGCAGGCCTTGCTTTCCTGAGTGAGGGCCAGGGCCGGCTCTGCACAGCCCTCAGACATCAATATGACCCTGGGCAGCAGCCCAGATGTCCACATGGTCTTTAGTGTTAACATAGGCCACTGGCATAGACCCAGACCCCTGCTGCTATAGGACCCTTTGGACCCAGACGTGGCCCTCAGTGGCAACATGGGTCAGGACATCTCCATGGCCTCAGGCGGCAGCCCAGGCTACTCACAGTAGGCTGTTCCTCACCACCCTTGCACCTCCAGCTCTGTCTCTCTTCACAGTGCACAGACTGCTTCCCTTTCTCTCCCATCTCCCCAACACATACTTGCTCATTGTATCAGTACCTGCTCTGCCTCTGCAGCATCTCTGTAGGTGGATCCTCTCTGGTGTCTCTCATGCCCAGCTGTGGCTGTGGGCAGGCGTCTCTCTGGTGTCTTCTCTCTTAATTTCTCAATCTTCCCCTTCCCTTCTTTTTCTCTCTGTCTTTTTATGTAACTCACTCAGGCTGGTCTCAAACTCACAATCTTCCTGCCTCAGCCTCCTGTGGTCTGGGTTTGTAGGCATGCATCATTACTACAAATAGAGTTTTATCAGCGCGTAGCCATGGCAGTTTGTTTATGGCAGTTTTCAAACCACAGTGACAATTGTGTACTTGTGACCACATTTTCCAGAAAGTCCAAAGAAGTTACTATCTGGATTTAGAAGAACAAATTTACTGACCCCCTGTTGGCAGCACACCAAACTCTGAGTCTACTGGGACTCATTGTAACAAGTAATCCCTCGGTAGACTCTTTCAAGGTGAATGCTGCTTTAATAGTACTGCCTTTAGAACCATATCTAAAAAATAGGTCAAGATCTTCTTGGTGAGGAGGTTAGGAATAGGACATTTGGGTTATTGATTTCCTTTTGCCAAGATTTTGCTCCGATGCTCTTGAAGATCCTCTCTCTGTTCTCATTCGGCCTCAGTTTTCAATCAGCTTCTTTCCAGGGATGGGAGGCAGTACAGCACACTCTGGACCTGTAGTCCGAGGGTTTTTATAAACATGCTTGGGTGCTCCATCTGCCCCGCCTCCATGCCTCAGTGTAAGCCGTAAGATACCAATCTTTCTCTCCGTTCATCCCATTACATGCTTGCTTGGCTAGTTTCCTGAGTATAACGCTCTCACTGTCATCATCAGAAACTCTGAGAAACCAAAGGCAAGTAGTGGAAATGGTTGAGACACTCAAAAAGCCCAAGCCTTGACTCCTCGGCACTCCAATACCGGCAGTTCGCAGGGTGCCTTGGAGATACTGAGCTTTATCAACCCCTATAGATGTCCATTAATCCCAGCAACGTAAAGACCATTCCCCAAATTTTTGGTCAAGTAAACAGCTTTATTTTCTGTCAGACAGGACTATCTCCTCAAAGCAGAGTTTGAGAGAATAGCTTCGAACTTAGGAGATATGGGATTTATATAGCTCCCCAAAGTGCAAGGCTAGGGGGTTTCCAAGGGTTGGAGGATTTCCAGAGGAATTTTGGCTATGTAGGAACTTGGCTGAATATTTCAAAAGACTTTGGCAGAACATCTGATCTTATCAGGGTATATTCAAGGTGTGAGTCAAACTCACTGGGGGTGGGGAGCATGTCACATTCCAGAAACAGATTAGAGCATGCTTGAGCTTGGATTTTGCACCAACCAGAAATGAACCTGTTCTGACCTTATAACAAAATGGCTTCCATCCTTAAGATGGGGTCAGGCTGGTCCATCAATGTTCTCATAGTAGAAAAGAGCAGAAAATTAACATTGAATGGGAGTATGCAGAAGATACCCTGTGGTGATTTTCTGAAAGAAACTGGTATTTAAATACTCCAATGTTCAGGTCTTTCTGTTTGCCACTTTTTAAAAATATATTTTTTTAATTGAAAATACATTTTTTTCATACAACATATTCTGTTCATGCTTTATGCTTTTTCCTCCCTTATCTTCCCCCAGATCACCCTACCTCCCCAACTCCATGCCTTCCTTCTCTTTCCTTAGAAAAAAAATGGACAAATTAAAAGAAAAAAACACAACAGAATAAAAAAAGAGAATAAAGAAAAAGCCTCTAAAACATACACATGTAGGGAGGCAGGCAGACAGGCGCACACACACTCAAAACAAAAATGAAACCCATAAAAATACAAGATCAGAAACCATATTATATACGCAAAAGACTTGTAAGGTTAAAAAAAAGTCATAAACAATTGAAGCTGCCTCTGCATGAGGCTGCTGGAAGGGTCTTTTACAACACTTTTATAAAACTGGGGAAATTTGTTGTCTGTCAGTATTAATTCAAGAAGCATAGACAATTTCAGAGTCTGTTTTAAGATGAAGCCAGGAGTTAATAAACAATCTAGAGAACTGAAGGAGTCCAACTTTTCAGTCTTAATTGCAGCATTGCAAGCGTGCACACACCACCATTACTTTGATAAGTATTTTCATAAGGATTCCATAAAGTGAATTTAACAGCCAAGCAAGAAGATTGCTATCACCATTCCTCCTTAGAAATGTAACACATTTTTTTTTGTTGTTGTTGTTGCAAAATAGATTAATACTAGCACCACATAACATTACACATATTCTACATTTCAGGCTTTAAATGCATTTATTTGCTGTGTTGAGTCAAAGGCTGAGAAAAAAAAAAAGGAAAGATGCTGGCTTAGCAATGTCTCTGGTCTTCTCTAGATGGCAGTCAAACCACGGGGATGTAGGATGCAAGACGTGTACTTGAATGTCACACTGAGCAAGTTCCAGTGTTTCCACAGCAGTTATTTGCTTGTCACTGTCTTCAAATAATGGCGATGGGAATATGGAACTCAGGAAAGTGACGTAGCTGTGATACAAAGATGGGACACAGTGAATGATGCTCGTCGTATGGCTGGACATTGGGACGTGAGGACAAAGGACATGCAGAGCTTATGGAAGCTTATGGACAGAACACCAGGTTCATGGACAAAATCTGGTCTGATTCTGTGTTGTGAGCCACCACAATTTGTATATTATGTCCAGACTTAGAAACCTGGGCCAGGTGTCCTTATGTGAAGAGGAATGAGTATTTGGAAGGATGTGAATAAAGATCTGGTTTCAGAAGAAAAATTATAGCACTTTGACTAATCCCTTTTAGTTTTCTATAGTCAAAGAATTTGACTTATTCTAAAACATGATTAAAAGCAAAATCCCACTAATGCATAAGTTTCAGAAAACTCTAGTGCATTGAGTGAGTCCAGACTACACGAGGCCTGGGATTCCTACTCCTTAATAAGAAAATGCGTATGTTTTAGGATAAGAATGCTTAAGTCTCAGATTCAAAATGAAATTTTTGTTTGTTACTCTTCAGGAAATTTATTATATATCATGCATTTAACAAATACAAATACTTTTTTTTTGACACAGGGTCTCATCATGAAGCCCAGGCAAACCTTGAACTCTTGACTCTCTTTGCTTGT